GTAACAGTTCAGTAAATCTCTTGTCGCTAAGAGCGATTTTAAAAGCGCCACGTGCCTTTAATGACTCGCCAAAAACTTGTGTTTGATTATTGTACACTCTTTCCCACGACTATAGTCGTTTCCACTATTAGAATGAACAATAAAGCTGAAATGTATCTTTATTTACAATCATTGTTATCTGAATCCCGCCTGCATTCACTAATAAACTTACCTATCTTTCGATAAAAGCCAAATTGCAATTGCATGTAATGGTGCGCAATCAAGAGATATTTCAAAGTCGTTCGGTATTCCATTTCATGGTTGATAATCTTTGTCTGTATAATAATTAGATTAGAATTTATTTATATATGTACATATATTTTCTGTATTTACTGGAAATATAACTCTACTTTAAAAAAAATACAAAATTGTATAGCGTTTTATATGATGATTTCGCAGATTTACTTTACTTTCATACTTTCACACTTTTAGCTTTTCCAAAATATTACCAAAGTATGACGATGCATCTTACTCCGAACCCTAAGAAAATTATTTTTTATCATATTAAGCTGTAATTTAAATATAAATTTATTTTTTTAACAAATTGTGGTAAGAGCTTTGGCTTAAAAACCCAAAATTACAGGTTTGATACCCATTTTGGACAGCTTAATATCAAGCAGTAGTGCATCAAATTGAAAATAAAAAATAATAAAGAAATTTTAATTCTCAGTATATATCAAATATAAATTAGCTAACGGTTGCCAACAGTTTTTAAAGTACAACCCAACAGTCTGTTAATAAGTATCGTCAATATAGCTCTTAAGATTTATAAGATTTATTTTTGTTAATATGACGTTAACAGCTTTCCATAGTTACATTATTTTGGCTTATTATTATATTGTCAAAAAATGGAGCAGAAAAGTATAAGAATGCAAACTTATTCAAGTTTTATTATTATTTATAAAAAATAGTTATTTCGTAGTACACTCGGAATTAATATCTCTGATAGTTGTGTTGTCGAATAAATTTCTGACTGCCTCATATCAAGCAGTAGTGCATAAAATTAAAAACCGAGACATTCTAATTATAAATATAAATCAAATATAAATTGGTCAACTGTTGGGCTGTCTTCTTAAAAAGTCAGGTAGTTTATAAGGAACATCAAAACAGCTCATAAGATAATAAAAATTTTTTTTGCTAATTTTTAACAAAAAAAAAAGTTTTACAAAACAGTTTTACCTATTTACATTATTTTGGCTTCTCATTATATTGCCGAAGAATGGAGTAGGTAGAAAAATTCAAATAAAATCAATTCTGTATTCTGTATCAGGCTTTAAGGATATAATTAATTGTAAATTAAAAAATCAAACTCTACGAAAATATTTGAAATAATTTGAAATTTTTGTTCTGATTTTTTTGATTTCTACATTCTTGCTTTATAAATAATACTTGTGAACTAATAACTTAATCATTCTCTTGTCCCACTATTTAAGCTTTCAACTCGCAATATCTTAATTAATTCTTAGGAAGTACATTTATATGATAAAGTTCAAGTTATTTTACGATGCATCTACTAAATTAATTTATTATTAAATTGAAATAGCATTTATATCAGCAGTCTTCATCGATGCAATTAATCAGTTTAAAGGGCATCGCCATAAATCAGTTAAATTCACGGTCGATGTAGGACAATAGTAACAGATATCAGATGTTCATGACGTTTTAGGTTTAGGGAGCAACACAATATATAATATTAATGACTATGTCACGTTCAGACACCGGCATCGAAACTCCTTCGAATATTGATGAATTGCAACAGAAAAACCACAAACAAAATTCCTCTGCTGTTGATTGATCTGTTCGAACTACTGGTAGGAATTTGCTCTGCAGAATTCATAGGATTGTTGGATTTCGAGTGAAAGTTATATTCACCCTGAGGAATATAGAAATTTATTCATCTAGTTAACTATATATCGATAATTACATCATATATTACTATCTTTCAAATTATTCGTTCTCAATTTTGAGTTCGGCAACACCTTTCATCATCAAGCCTATTTCTTCCTTAATTTTTTTTGTTTCTTACTTCATTTTATAATTTTTCTTTATTTTCTTAATTTTTGTTACTTATTATGTATATTGTATACTTTATTTGATTGTTTTTTTATTACTTAAGTAAACAGTTTTATATTATAAAATTAGATCTTGATTGACAAAATAATAAGTAAAGATAAAATGGAGGGTATATATAGACCTTTTTGATAATGGAAAAATTCAAAAACCTTGTGAATGTATCAATAAGATAGATCTCAATATTAATAAGATATTTGAATATCACTTAATTAATTTTGAGCAAAGATTGGTCAATAAATTGTTATATACAGGGTGTCCCAAAAGTCGACGTCAAGCACAAATAGGGCAATAGTGTTGACTATGACTGTCCTAAAAAAATAAAAAATAAAATATCTCACGTTGTTTGTAAATTTAAGCTCTAAGTGCAACCTAGAACTTTGGTAAAATTGTAACAATTTTTCGATTATTGATTTTTTTAAGTTTTTTTATTTATTTATACCTTAGAACTATAACCGTAAATAACATTTCTAAGACCACAAGTCAAAAATAATGACACAATTGCCCCAAGTTTTCAAGAATTAAGATTTTTTGTTGAACTATGAACTTAAAATTTTCAATATTGGTGGACTTTGAAAAGCACTCCTTTAAAAAAGTTTACTAAAATGTATTGGCAAAAATGTTGATAGATTTTATCAGGATTGTGAAATGGTGAAGTGATTGATTCATAATAGAAATTTTCGAGAAAAAAATAAAAACCTAAAAATATTGATTCAAAATAACAATACTGAAGTATTAAACTTAATGACTAGTCGTTAAAAATCTCAAAACATTTCTTACGTTCAGTAAATATTATTTAGGTCAATGTGCAATGCAAATACCAGTGTCATTAATTCATTTTCATAAGCCCTGTATTTTCTCTCGGTGTTTATTATGCAAATGTCATTTTATAGGTAAAACTTTTATGATTTTTGCTGCAAATATCATTTTAATTTCTATTTAATTCTTTTAATGAAATCGTAAAATCTGTTTGTCTTTTATTACATTTTGACACCATTCAAGATGGTTTTTATCTCTTTACAAATATGAATTTAGATAGATAATTTTAGATAACGAATGCATTTTATCGTCGTGAGTAAAATGATATCCCTTAATTTAATAATCGTAACACTATCTGCTTTATGTATTTCATATGTTATGGCTTGTGACAGCATCTCGACAGCAAAATGACGCCGGTTTCGCATTATAACAGGATGAGTCACATGGAAGAGAATTTTGGATGTTTTTTTCGAATGTTTTTGTACGAGAAATAATAGGAGAGCCAATTACACAAAAATGAATTTATATGATACAACATGGATTAGTAATCTAAACTAATTCAAAGATTACTAATTAAATTTATTATTCAATAAAATTGTAAATATTTTGAATAATAATTTTAATATTTTTGTAATTAGTTCTGTATATAGAAATAATGATGGCTTTGATTTGATCATCCTGGAATTATTCTGTTAATGTAAATATGACAACAATTTCTACTTTACTTAAAAAAATTTAATTCTAAGACTAATTACTAAGAAAATGATCTTATTAAAAATTTGATGTGCATATGTCTATTGATCATTTTCCATAGCCAAATGGCATTTTTTAACTTCTCTCCGGAAATTTAAATATTGAAATTAAAATTATATTATCAAGGTGCAGTAATTTCCTATTTCTTAGGGTTCTGATCAGCATGGGTAATTCAATCGATTGCAATTAGAATTTATAAACACATTGTTTGCTATATTTATAACTAAGCACGTAAACTTAATTTTATTCATAAACTAAAATCTTCATAAACATTGGAAGCAAAATCTTCAGAAGGTCAACTTGGTCAAGTAGTTGATGGTGGTCATTAACATGGTTTTAAATTTGTTGATGGTATAAAATGTTTAGTGAAAGATATTTTATGAAAATTTTGCTATTATTTCATGAGTGTATTTTAGACCCTTCTAAAGAAAAATGACCCACCGACCCTTCTATGTGGCTGAATTTGGGCGTTTTTTCCAAATGTTTTCGTATGTGCAGTAATGAGCAAGCTCGGCACGCTTTTGTGACATTAGTATCAGAATTTAGCGCATAGTAATTTATTCCCCCAGGAGTGATTTTAGATTCACCATGGGATCGTATTTTACGCATCGGGGTCCGATGGGGAGTCTGTCGGTTTGTTTAGTACAAGAAGAGCGCATTAAACTGCAGTACTGTACTTTGCACGAATGTCCTGGTTCTACAGAGTTGAAATTTTCACGAGAAAACACAACATATTATGTATTTGAAATCGTTAAAGTTCTGCGACAAACAATGGCCTCTCCATATTATTCTTCTGAAATTGCCAAAGTCTGCTTGCTTTCATATAACTTCGCGAAGAAAATATTTCTTGGAGCTATAATGTGGCTTTTATCGCTGAAAATTTGAGTTTTGGAAACGAATTTGTTTTGAATTGTATTTTGTTATTGGGAATTGTTTTTTGTTGATTGTAAGCTGAAGGACCAGATAGAATTAGTGGCTCTATCGACCGTTTAAAATGTAAATATTGATTAATAACAAATAGATTTACACTTATTTATTTATAGAATATAATTTACACTGTTTGTGATAAAGTTTTAGTATTGATATAATATTGGAATATTTGAATGTGTGGATAGCTTGGCGACCGGGTTAAGACTATATTGTTAGTGCCGCCTTCAGGTACCTAGCAAGGACCCTTCGTTAAATCTTGAGATGCAAATTGCCTATGCGTCGTTGCAAATGTAATATTTCTTAGAAAAATATGAGTGCAGCGTTGTCACGTCTAATTTGGCGTGAACATTCTCCCCCCCTTGAAATAATATAGGGTATATGATTTCAAAATTAGAATTATAGTTCAACACTTTGAGTTAATAACAGTCTATTGGTTTGATTTATATTGTCTATTGTTTTGGTAACACACAAACTCGATTAATTGCACGTTTGAGTACACCATTTTGTGTCTTGATTGTCACAACACGCACAAGTCCATCATCTCCTGGATGTGTGTCAAGAATACGCCCCAATCGCCAGTGTAGTGGAGGTAAATTGTCTTCTCTGACCACTACCATATCGCCTACCTCAGCTGGTTGCGATGGTTGAACTTGCCATTTTGTTCTTGCCTGCAGCTCCGATACGTATTCTTTGTGCCAACGCTTCCAAAAATGTTGCACAAGTTTCTGTAGTCGTTGATACCGAGAAAGCCTGTTATCAAGGGTTTCAAGCACTGATGGATCGGGAGTAGATGTTAAGGATTTTCCAATAAGAAAGTGACTAGGAGTTAAGGGATCATAGTCATTGGGATCGGAGCTTAAGGGAGAGATTGGTCTCGAGTTTAATATTGCTTCGATCTGTGTCAAAACCGTATAAAAATCTTCAAAAGTTAAAATAGCATTACCCAATACTCGCTTTAAATGAGCCTTGCACGACTTTATGCCCGCCTCCCAAATTCCTCCAAAATGAGGAGAGTTTGGTGGAATGTGCTTCCATGACACGCCTTCGTTGGTCATATCATTAACAATCTTATTTTGATTTGATTTTGTTGTAAAAATTTATAAAGCTCCTTTAATCCTGATGCTGCGCCTATAAAATTTGTTCCATTATCGGAATAGATTTCGCGAGGTTTTCCGCGTCGCGCCATAAATCGTTTAAAAGTGGCTAAAAAACTATTCGTAGTTAAATCAGATACTAATTCGATATGTATTGCTTTTGTAACAAGGCACACGAACAAACATATGTAAGCCTTAAATTTTTTGTATCCTCTTGTTTGACGATCTCTTAATAAGATAGGACCTCCGTAATCTACTCCGCATATAAAGAAAGGTGACTGCGGTGTAACGCGATATTTAGGCAAATTGCCCATTATTGGATTAATAAATGTAGGTTTTACCTTAAAACATGTAACGCATTTTTTCACGATCGATCTTGTCAGGTTTCTGCCTCCGATAGGCCAATAAGTATTACGCAACGCATTTAATAACATCTGTGATCCGCAATGATACAGTTTTAAATGCTCATGCCTAGTTATTAGAATAGTCAATTGATGATTTTTTGGTAGTATTATCGGATGGCATTTATCATACGGTAAATTTGAATTCTTTATCCTACCGCCGACGCGCAATATTCCATTTTTGTCTAAAAACGGTGTTAATGATTTTAATTTCGACGATTTGTGTAATGCTTCCCCACGCGCGACTATATCTATGTCTTGTTTGAATATTTCATATTGTGATATTTTTATTAACTTGTTTAGTGAATTATTGAATTCATCGACCGTGAGTGGGCCATACAGTAGTTCCTTTTCTTTCTTCTTTAGTTTTAAATTTTGTAAAAATCGATAACAAAAAGCAGTTACGCGCACGAGTTTAATAAGGGAAGAGTATAAGAAAAAATGTTCGTTATTGTTAATTTTTGTACAAGTCAAACTTGTGATTCGACTTTCGACATCAGTTTCAGGAATTGAAATATTGTCAGTTGCACGTCGCTGTGTTTCAGTTGGATTTTGTAGCCAAGATGGGCCTGCCCACCACAAGGATGAATTCAATAAATCATGTGTATAGCACCCGCGTGATATGAGGTCCGCTGGATTGTCTTCCGATCGGACATGTAACCAGTTATTTGCGTCGGTTTTTGTTTGAATATCAGAAACTCTATTGGCAACGAAGGTTTTCCATTTATAAGATGGAGATCTTATCCACGAAAGAGTGATTGTGGAATCGCTCCAATAGAATTCTTTATCAAACGCGATATTTAATGCACGTTTAGTTATTTGCGCAAGATTTGCTAGCAGTTGTGCCGCACAAAGCTCGAGACGGGGGAGCGTAATATTTTTTAATGGTGCTACTCGAGATCTTGCCGCTATTAGTTTGATTTTGATTTCAGAATATTTGTTAATAGACCGTACATATATACACGCGCCGTAAGCTTGCTCTGATGCGTCAGCAAAGCCATGTAATTCTGTGTTTATACGATTATTACAAAATATATGTCTTTCAATTTTCAAGTTTTTAATAGATTTTATTTCGAAACAAAACTGTTTCCATTTATTTTCTAGTTCCGAAGGAATGGGCTCGTCCCATGATAAGTTTAATCGCCATAGGCTTTGAATTATTAGTTTTGGTATGACGATAATTGGAGATAAAAAGCCCATAGGATCATACATTTGCGCTGTTGCCGATAAAATTGATCTTTTACTAACTATTTGATTTATTTTTATATTTTTGTAGTCAAATTCAAAACTGTCTGTTACCGAATTCCAAGATATACCTAAAGTTTTAATAGTTTGTTCACCGATGTTTAAAGTTGGATTATCTGCATTTAAAAGTTTTGAATAATTAGAATTAAATTTATATAGATTGAATTTAGCTTGTTGTAAAATATTACAAAGGTTATTTTTAATAGTGAATAATTCGGATATGTTATCAGTTCCAGTTAATAAATCATCAACGTAGAAATCATTTCTGAGAATTTCGCATTCCTTTGTATAGTTAGTTATGTTTTCTCTGGCTAACTGCTCCAAACAGCGTATGGCTAAAAACGGCGCAGAAGCTGTCCCGTATGTTACTGTATTTAATTGATAAATTTTTAATTTGCTGCTAGGATTGTCCCTCCAGAATATTCTTTGCATTTTTCTGTCGTTTTCGTGAACCAAAACTTGTCTGTACATTTTTTCTATATCAGCTGTAAGTACAAACGCATGTCTTCTGAATCTTAGTATGATAGAAAAAATATTGTTTTGAATTGTGGGTCCAACAAGTTGTAGTTCATTCAACGACAGGCCTGCATCGGTTTTGCAAGATGCATCGAACACTACACGCAATTTCGTTGTTAAACTGTCTGGTTTTATCACCCCGTGGTGAGGCAAATAGAAACACGTCGCGGGTTCGGAAGATTCGTTGACTTCGCTCATGTGCCCTAGTGTTATATAAGTATTCATGAAATTTTTGTATTCGTTAAATAGATTTTTGTTTGTTCGTAAACGGTTTTCAAGTGAAATAAAACGTTTAAACGCGATTTGCTTACTATTCCCTATTTTTTTTATATTGTCTGTAAACGGAATTTTAACTATAAATCTCCCGTCGTTTGCCCGCGTTGTATTGGCAACAAAATGCTGTTCGCATTGTTTTTCTGATTCGGTAAAATGTTGTATATCGCTACACGCTTCCAGTTCCCAGAATTTTTGAACTTGATTTTCTAAATTAGCCGTATGATGACATATCGTAAAAGAACTGGAATTGTTGAGAGGTACGCTGCCAGCAATAACCCACCCGAACTGTGTATTTTGCAAAATAGGTCTATTTTTTCCTAGATGAATATATCCTTTACAAAATATATTCCAAAATATTTCCGAACCTATTAAAATATCGATTTTATTGCTTTTATTAAATGTGGGATCCGCTAATTTTATATAATTTGGGATATTTAAAATATTTTTATTGAATGACACCGTCGGCAAATTATTTGTTATATTTTTAAGATAAAGCAGGATAGATCTAATGAAAAGTTATTAATGCACGATTTTAAAGTAATTGTTGTTTTTGACTTAATTTCCGTTGAATTTTGATTTATTCCCCGGACTGACATATTTACTGATTGTTTATGTAAACCGAGTTCATTAGCAAACTTCTCCGTGATGAAATTGGATTGTGATCCCGAATCTAATAATACTCTACATGCTCTATATCTATTATTGCTATCTAATACATTAATTACTGCGGTAGATAAGATGATTTGACTTGAATCATTTTCGGTATGGCACGAAACATTTTGTGGTGCATTATTAACAGCTGGCAATTGGCTTGAGTCTATATGCAGAAGACTATGATGATTTGAATTACAAATGGTACACCGATTTAATGAAGTACATTGATCGCTGTTGTGATTGTAACGTAAGCAATTCGTGCATAGTTTTAATTGATTTACTTTGCTTACTCTATCTTCTGGAGATAGTGTCCGAAAACCTTGGCATTTGAACGGTGAATGAAATGGCTCTTTGCAAATTAAGCAAATATTTTTGTGATTAGTGGATGAAGCGTAAGACTTTGTATGTTTTGCGTAATTAGGTTTTATATCTTTAAATTTACTAGAGTTTCCGATTCTTGTTTCAGTCGGATTAATTGCTTCTAATATTGTGCAGCGTTGATTTAAAAAATTGCTAAGTTCGGAAAATGTAACTAGTTCAGAGCCTTTATTCATTAACATCTCCCACTCTTGATGAGTTTTCTTATCAATTTTAGAAATTACAAGATAATTTAATAACGCGTCCCATTGATCGACGGGTTGTTGTAACATTTTTAAGCATCTTAAATGTTTATTAAACGCATCTATTAGATTACGAAGGTCTTTACCTGATTCGTTATGCATTGGCGGGTGATCAAATAATTTTTTAATATGATTGTTTACGATTATTTTCTTATTTTCGAAACGCGTTTTTAGTAAATCCCACGCAATTATATAATTATCGGCAGTTGCCGGTAGAGACTCTATAAGGCTTGCCGCCTCTCCTTTAACGCATGATTTTAAATAATAAAATTTTTGAGAATTACCGATGTTACAATCATTATGAATTAAAGAAGAAAACGAATCATAAAATTGTAGCCAATTTAAGTAAGAGCCGTCAAACTGAGGTAAATTGATTTGAGGTAGTTTTATGTTGTTCGAGTTATTTGTTATAGTGGTGTCATTGGAATTACTATTCGAACTAGTATCCGACTTACTTGATGCTGCCTGACTAAGTTTAAGTAAAGTTGATAAACAATTATTATGTTTTTCAAAAAATTCATCTAACTCTATTTCTATTAAATTATTAATTTGACTTTCGTCTTCTAGTAATGCTGTTATACTAATTACGGTATTTTCAAAGATTTCAAACAAAGGCTTCACATCATCGATAAGGCGTTTTATGTCTGCAATATTTAAGTCGCAAGCAGGTAGTTCCGACATTTGCCTGCACACTTTTTCGTATTTTGTTAAACGTGTTTTAGTAACTCGCTGTTTCATTTTGAGTTTATTTAATGATTCCATTTTGACACAGATTGAATTAAAACTCTAAATATTAAAATAAGGAAAGATTGATAGGAAGGAATGCTTGACTAACCTGATATACTCGCTGCTTGCTGTGCTCGCTCGTAGGTGTAGCGCCAAAGTTAGAACTTCCTGTCTTGTTTAGAACTTTCACTTTATTTAATTTTTGATTTAGATTTAAGATTTTAATTATTTTCTTCGCACTGGTGACGCATCCGGTTCGTTTTGGACCAATGTTTTTTGTTGATTGTAAGCTGAAGGACCAGATAGAATTAGTGGCTCTATCGACCGTTTAAAATGTAAATATTGATTAATAACAAATAGATTTACACTTATTTATTTATAGAATATAATTTACACTGTTTGTGATAAAGTTTTAGTATTGATATAATATTGGAATATTTGAATGTGTGGATAGCTTGGCGACCGGGTTAAGACTATATTGTTAGTGCCGCCTTCAGGTACCTAGCAAGGACCCTTCGTTAAA